CCCCCCCCAGTTGCTTTACACTGTGGGGAAGTTTCATTGGGGACCCGAGCTGTGCTGTCAATTGCCACAAGAAATGAAGAGGCCTGAGTAAGAGGCAGGACTGGGGCTGCATCTTTGAGAGGTGCTTCTCTTCAGTACATCTGGGTGGTGGCAGCAAGACTCGAATCCTGGGACAGCGCAGATTTGGTCATGGAGCTTCATGGGTGAACACCACCACGCCCATGGTGGAGGAAGGTTGCGAGATGCTCCCTGTCATGGATAGACAGATGGAGGGAGCCTTGAGATACTTCTCTCCCAAGCCGAGAGGAAGCCTAGAGACCCTGGAGGAAAAGCACTGTGCCTAGGGCCCCAGAGTTGGTGGCATCCCAGAGATGAGCAGACAAGAACCCAGGTCTCTCGTCAGAAGCTAGAGAGTATCACATCCAAGCTGCAGGATAGTCTAGATTCCTGCCAATCACAGGCTGTGTGGCGCAGGGCACGTTTCCTCATTCACTAGACTGCGCTGTTTCTCTGAGCTAGTTTCTTGTTTGCGAGCCTATGCTGTTTAATGGACACATTCATTAAGTTGATGCATCTGAAGGTTCTCTTAGTAAAAAATTCCCTGTATAATATTAATATTCCACTTACATGTCCATATTTTTCCATTTCCCTTCTCATGTGCTTTTCACTTTAAGAAGTTTTTAGTAGTTTTCTTTAACCAAAAGCGAGGAGCATATTTATGGGACTGTATATAAGTAATCACAGCATTCTACAGGATTCCCAGATGAAGATGATCAGATTTGCAGAAAGGAGTATTACAGGAGTATTAAAATATGAAACCTGGAAAGTAAGACTGCCAGGCAAAGTATTTGTATTGTTATTGTTCAGATTTGTGGTATATTCCTGTCATAGCCATTGAAGCCCTGTTCAAGGTAAATTATACGAGGAAGTAAGCAACTTCCTTTTATTCACTCAAACATAAAGGGGTGTATTAGTTTGCTGATATACATAAAAGAACATTATAACTTGTAGTACCCCTGAATTGACGTCAGCTTCCTAAATTTAAAATGCTGACTGGACGTGTGTATGTGAGGGGGTGGAGGGCCAAAAAAATGTTACTTCCTCCTGCTTTGTTAATCGCGAAGAATAAATAATAACATTTGGCTCTCTAGAGAATTCAAGGCTTTAATTCACCGGCGAGGCTTCCCTGTTGTTTTAGAAACCGCTTGAACTGTGTTCTCTTAGTCCCGTCTTGTGTCAGTAAAACGGCTTGAGTGATCCCCGCTTATAATCACTCCAAAGTGGCCTTTCACCCCTTCCCGTTCAACCCTAACCCATCAGAATGCCCTAAATTTTTTCTTTTAATTTTTTATTCAAGTCTATTTGGCATATATTATTGTATTAGTTTGAGGTGTGCAACGTGACGATTTGACATTTATATACCTCGCAGTGTGATCACCACAATAAGTCTATTAACTGTTTATCTTCATGCAAAGTTATTAGGATCTTGTCTCTGTTCCCTCTGTTGTACACTACATCCCTGTGGCGAATTTATTTAATAACTGGAAGTTTGTACCTCTTACTCCCCTTCACCTTTTCCAACCATCCCCCACCCCCTTCTACTCTGGCAACCAGGTTGTTCTTGGTATCTATGAGTCTGTTGCTCTTTTGTTTTGTTTATTTCTTTTGTTTTGTTTTTAGATTCTGCATTTAAGTGAAGTCATAGGGTATTTTTCTATGTCTCACTTCTGCCCTAAGTTCTTGCCTACATTTTTAAGATTTCTTTTTCTTTCAATTACAGTTTACATTCAATATTATTCTCTGTTAGTTTCAGGTGTACAACCTAGTGGTTAGACAACTGTATACTTAACAAATCAGTCCCTGTGAACACACCTCACATACCGATTACTCTATAGTTGTTATTTATAAAATAATTGACTCTATTAATAGTTTGCCCTTGAAATGGAGATTGCAGTTCATTCAGATCTTTTTTGAGCACTTACTACATGCTGGTCGGAGTTGCTGGGGATACAGGAGTGAAAAAAAGCCAGACCCTGTCTTCATGGCCTCTACAGTCTAGAGATTCCGCTAGAGGTGACAGTAGGTAGCTAAGAATGGAACTAATGTGGTTTTTTAAAACCTCTACTTTCACTGTGGAAAGAGCCCTGCTATGGGTGACTGGGCCCTGTGGTCTAATTCCATCCCTGCCACTAAGCAGTGGATAAGCAAATCTCTTAGGGTATCTCGTGCTGTATTTTATGAGGTTGACGGCAGAAAGTTTTTGTATATACAGGTGTGTACCCCCAGATAACATACTATGTAATCATTACTACCACTAGTGGCATTCAGCTGTCTTGCTGAGATCACTGATCTCCATCAGAATTTGGAAAGCAGCTTATTTACTCGTTTTGGCTCATGTCCAAGATGCAGTTGTACCCATGCCGTGAGGCAGCTCCCCAGTGGGGATGCCAAGAAGTTTTGGAGCGTGGGTGATGGAGTATTGCTCTGGTGAAAATGGAGAACCAGAATTTGCATACCTAGTCTGTGGTGGGTCCCGAGCCAATGGTCATGGATGACTTCTTTTGGAATGTTGGACCACAGAGAGGCCTAGGACGAATTCTCAACCGTCCCAGTTGTCTTCAGTTAATTAGCTGGTAGGAGGACCACATCTTAAACCAATCTTTCTGATCACTTCTGGTACAGTGGAGGTGGTGGGGAAAATAATGCTAAATCAAAATGGCCAAAGAAGAAGAAACACTAATTTGAAAAGATATGTGCACCTCTGTGTTTATTGCAGCATGATTTACAATAGCTAAGACAAGAAAATAACTTAAGTGCCCATTGAGAGATGAATGGATAAAAAAGAAAATATCACACACACACACACACACACACACACACACACGCCTGCACACACCATGGAAATCACTCAGCCGTGAAAAGGAAGGAAATCTTGCCATTTGTGACAATATGGATGGACCTGGGGAGTATTATGCTAAGTGAGATAAGTCAGATGGAGCAAGACAAATAGCGTATGATTTCACTTATATGTGGAATCTAAAAAAAAAAAAAGCAATGCACAAACAAAACAAAACGAAAACAAAATCATACAAAGAACAGATTGATGGTTACCAGAGGGGAAGGGGGTTGAGGGGAGTGCAAAATGGGGAAAGGGGGTCAAGAGTATGGTGATGGATGGTAATTAGATTTACAGTGGTGAACACTATGCAGTGTATACAAATATCTATAAGTTTGAACACCTGAAATATATATACTTTGTATAGCAGTGTCACCACAATGCTGCTGCTGCTGCTACTATTACTGCTACTAGTAATAATAATAATCATAATAATAAAGATGGCTGCTTGTTGTGCCAGGCAAGGAACTGTGTTTTCACATGTACCATTGCTTTTCACTCTCAGCTAATGATAATATCATATGGGTATTATATGATATTATAATATCATAACCTCTGCTTGGGAATTCTCTTTCATTATTTATGAAATTTTACTTTTTCTATGAAATTTTACTAGGATTTTCTATGAAGTTTTGAATGTCCATTTACTTATGAAAATGGGTGTTGTTTGGATACCTTTTAAGGGAGTTATAGTTTAATGGCTTTGGGAGGTTAATGACTTGTAAGGTGCCCCAGCCAGTAAGTAATGGAGAGCATCTGTTGACTTCAGTAATAAATTTCAAACTTGTTTAGAATTCTGCTTATATGTTAAATTTGAGTTTCTTCAGTGAGTCTTTTTTGTATCTTAGATGATTTATATCTTTCTGGGGGATCATTTAGAGTATTTTTTCCTTTTAAACAAGTGGTCTTCATAAAGACTAGGGCAGATGGATATATATCACACTCAAACATCTGGATCAGACAGGGCAGTTCTGTTTGATGTTTGTTATAGAAATGGCACCATCAAATACTAACAACTGTTTTATTCTGATCTTAACATCATGTTGAAAACACTCCTTTCTTTTTTCTTCCTTTTAGCTCAGTATCATTGCAGTGACTGGCGGAGACAGGAGAGGTAGATGTCCACACCCACAGACCCTGGTGCGATGCCCCACCCGGGGCCTTCGCCGGGGCCCGGACCCTCTCCTGGACCAATTCTTGGACCTAGTCCGGGACCTGGACCATCCCCAGGTTCCGTCCACAGTATGATGGGGCCAAGTCCTGGACCTCCAAGTGTCTCGCACCCTATGCCTACAATGGGGTCTACTGACTTCCCACAGGAAAGCATGCATCAAATGCATAAGGTAAGAGTTTATTCTCCTGTTCAGTCTTGTCCTCTGTGTCGTGGATGGCTAATATCCCTGATAACCCCTGCCCCTCGGTGTCTCCTGTTTTTAGGAGAGAAGCTAGGTCTTTGCCTTATCCTGAATATTATTAAAAACATACATTCTGAGGTTCGTTTATTGTCACAGATGTTGCACTAGTCAGGAAGATCAGATCTTGGCATTTTAAAAGACAAGATAGAATATGCAGTTCCGGTGATTTGTGGGCTGCCCCTATTTTGGCTTGGTGAGCAAGTGTATAAGTGAGTAAGTCTGACTCTGTGTGTTAAGTAACTTATATCATCCAGAAATGAACATATTGAAAATTATTTCTTTCTTTAAAATGTTTGTATTTATTGCCCGGCTGGGCGTGGCTCAGCGGTTGAGCATCGACCGAGGATCCAGGCGATCGGGGTTCGATTCCCGGTCGGGGCACATGCCCGGGTTGCGGGCTCGATCAATGACTCTCTCATCATTGATGTTTCTGTCTCTCTCTCTCCCTCTCCTGTTCTCTCTTTGAAATCAATAAAGATATATTTAAAAAAGTAAAAATAAAAAAAAATAAAAAAATGTTTGTATTTATTTAAAAAATTAGATCCCAAAGAGTAAACGGAAGATGAGTTCCTTCCTAAAGATTTTAGGTAGTTTCTAGGGAGTTCCCAGCATGCACTTGGCTGTCTCTCTGTGAAGTTGCTCTGTTCTGGGAGAAGGACCCGATTTGGCAGAACTGGCATCCAGTTGTTCATTTCTGGACTCTTATAATGATCCTCTCTTTGTGAGACTTGGATTGTTGATGTGGAGATGATCGTATTGTTACAATTTTGACATTAGACCTTCACAGGAGATGCAAAAAAGAGAGAACAGCCTTCTAAGAAAGTAAACAAGAGCCTCTGAGACAGTTTGCTTTGAAAGTTAGCAAAAGCCAAAGAAACTCTATGAGGCCATATTACCTGAAGGTCATGCCTGATGGGACAAGTAGAGGTTTTACATTTATATCTCTTTTGGATGACATCACAGGGGCATAGGGTGGTGGGATGCCTTTTGATGTTAAATAGATAAGCTTTGGAAGATACTGGTTTAAAACTGAAAGATTACTGCAAAAAAGAGCAAGTCATTCCCCTAACCGTGTAGGACTGTAGGTCAATTTTAAGCTAAGGCATTGGGAGCCCAGAAGAGAAGATCCACATTTTTACAAACTTTGTTATTTATGATTTCAAATCCAAAAAGTAATGTGTGGCTTGTTTTGAAAAATGAAACCGTACTGAGGTAAGTAAAGGAAATGGCTAATCCTGGCTTCACCCCAGGTAACAGCTTTTCACACCTTACTTTTCTCTATGTTCAGTAAAAATCATACACAGGTGTAATTTTTTAAATAATTTTTCTTTTACCATAATAGAATATATTATTAGTATTAATTGCTCTGCAACTTTCCTTTTTACATTTAAAAATACATTGTGGGCCTGGCTGGTGTGGTTCGGTTGAGCATTGTCCTGTGCACTGAAAGGTCACCTGTTCGGTTCCAGTTGGAGCACATGCCGAGGTTGTGGACTTGATCCCTGGTCCTGGTGCATGTGGGAGGCGGCCAGTCCATGTTTCTTTCTCACATTGATGTCTCTCTCTCCCCCCCTTCCTCTCTGAAATCAATAAAAAATAAATAAATAAATGAAAATATATTGTGAATATCCCTATAATGTCCCCAAGTTCTCTCTCTCCTTTTTTAAAAGACAAACACATTTTTAGCTTGTTAGTTGAAGAAATAAAGCTATTTGTTTTTCATATCATATTTTTTAGCAGACATATTGAACATATAGACATATTGAAGTCATTAAATTGTCTCGTGCTCATATTAATTTAATTTGGGAGCTACATTACAGATCAGATCTGTCACTTGTAAACCTTAGTCCAGGTGGGTTAAATAATTTTAGAATGGGTTAAAGATGACTCACCTCCAAAATGAAAGGTAAAATTTGAAGGAAATATTTAGCTAATCTCTATTAGTATTTAAGCATTTAAAAGTTAAACGCATAAATGAGTGTTGGGTCAGTACTACATTTTTGCTCTGGGTTGTTATTATTGGCCCTACGGTTTTGTTACCTAGCGTCTTTGTCACAATTCCTCGTATTCTCTACCCTCACCTAAACTCTGTTTTGTTTTGCTCTCATTCTGCAAGGTGTGCATTTTTTTGCCAATCTGGTTTTCCTGAACCCCCAGCCCCTCAGATGATTCCCTGTGTGAGGACGTGTTAAGTGCCTGAGTTCACACCTGCTGACCAGATGCCTTCACTTTCTTAGACTGTTTTTATAGACAACTTTATTTCTTGTCTCTCTCCCCCTCCTCCCTCTGAGCTTCAGCTTTTGCTTTGCAACATTACTGGAAATAAATAAACAAGTGGCCTAAATACATCTGCTGCGTAGCTTTGATTTCCTCTCTATTATTACTGTTTAACACACTCAGAGACGCTCTTTATACCAAATTCTTCCCATTTTTCTTCTGAACATCCTCTTTATGGTAAATTCTTCCTCTTTTCAAGTGCATGCTTTTGACTCTGCAGAAATTAACTTTCCTTTCTCCCAAACTGCAAACATTCATACTTTCTTGCTTGGAGTTATTTGGTTTCTATAAACTCCTGGAAATATTCCTTTCAGGCCCTTTTGAAAATTGCTGTTGCATTTTGCGGAGGAATAGACTTTTCCTTTCTCAAACACATGCTCCGTTGCCCAATTCTGGATTGGATTAACGTCCGTTCAATAGCTATTTATTGCGTGTCTGTTATGTGCTAGGCCTCAAGTCCTGTTTCCAGACCCTGTGTTCTTAATTTTCCCCCAAACTGTGCCTTTAACCTTATTCAGTCTTCTCCCGTCTGTAGCACAGCTCCATCCATTTCACCGCCCTTCCCTTTCAGCGTTCACTCCATTCTCTGCTCTACCTGGTCTGTTTCTCTTTTCCCAACTGCCATGGAACTTTCTGGTTTCAACTTTTAAACTTTCCATAGTTCCTTCCCCTCTGATGACAAAAAAATTACCCAAAAAATCGATCATTGCAGACATTTCAAATAGTCTTCCTTCAGACTTGAGACTAACTTCAACACACAGCAGGTTTCAGGATTTACTTAGGAGGTATGGAAGAATAGCTTATATTTGTATACCTCGTGAGCAGGATTTTATTTTCACTTTCAGGTTTTGGTGTTACAAAAAAATTCAACTGTTTAAAGTCTTAACTTTTGACTTACAGATAGTTTGATAATCCTATTGGTGTAGTCTTTTTAATTTTTTTGTCCCCACCTCTAAAATATATGTAATATATAATAATATATGTAACATAGGTGTAAAAATATATGACTGTCATATGGGTAATAGATGATTGTGCCACAATTTTGAAGACCTTAGAGAGGGGTCTTAAAACTCCAAGTAGAAATACCCCTTTTTAAGGAGGTGTCTAACTGATGTGCTTCACGTGTTTCAGCCCATGGATGGTATGCACGACAAGGGGATTGTAGAAGATATCCACTGCGGGTCCATGAAGGGCACCGGCATGCGGCCACCTCACCCAGGAATGGGCCCTCCCCAGAGTCCGATGGATCAGCACAGCCAAGGTCTGTAACACTACATACCTGATTTTGGCTTCATACCATAGTCTTTCATCTTTCATATTGGTTATTTTAACTATGACTTCCAAGGGACATGGTTGAGGAAGATTGAATCCAGCAGGTTTCTTTTCCCTATAGAAGTCTGCCCCCAGCCCCTACCAACACAAATTTATGATTCATATGGTCAGTTTTATTAACAAAATCCTCACAATTTTACTAGCCTCCACAAGTTCAAGCACTCTGCAAACTGCTTTATGTACTTTATTCAGAATCTTTATCATGGGCTTGTAAGGTAAATTATATTATCCCAGTTTTACAGATGGGAAGCTAAAACTCAGAGAATTTACTTTTTTTTCCTAAGTTTCCACAACCTATAAGTGACAGGGCCAGAAGGAGGTTCCTGGTCTGCTTCCCAACAACAGTGTAGATGTGCAGGTACAATGAGCCACTTGTGTCCCTTGAATTGAACGCGTTCATACATTGTCTGTAAAGTGGCTTTTTCTGGTAGTGGAATTACCTGTCATTGCTGGTGGGTAGCTGTATTAGTTTTCTAGGGCTGCCATAACAGATTACCACAAACTGGGTGGCTTAAAACTATAGAAAATTATTTTTTCACAGTTCTGGGGGCTAGAAGTCTGAAATCAGGGTACCGGCAGGGCCATGCGTGCTGAAGCCTCGAGGGAAGAATTTGTTGCCTCTTCCTAGCTTCTGGTGATTGCTAGCATCCTTGGAATTCCTCGGCTTACAGATCTATCCCTCCTATCTCTGTCTTGCTCTCCATGTGACGTTTTTCCTGTGTGTCTGTGTCTGTTTGCAGGTTTTCCTCCTCTTATAAAGATACCAGTCATTGGATTAGGACCTACCCTAATGCACTATGACCTCATCTTAATTTGATTACATCTGCAAGGATCCTATTTCCAAATAAGGTCACATTCACAGGTACTAGGGGTTAGGGCTTCAAACTTATCTTTGTAGAGGGCACAATACAGCCCACAGTAATGGCCAAATATGGTATATTTCTCTTCTCCTTGGTGCCTTCTTCCCTCACTGTTGAAGGCATAGTAAAGATACCACAAAGTCTTTTGAATACAGCGTAACTTGTTTTCACAATCACTGTATGGTCATTTCAGCATGCAGAGGGCATGGGTTAATCTAGCACTAATTAACCCTAATATGCTGATATTCTAATTCAAAGTTTGCGGTTTATGCATTGCTTTGTATACTCCTTTGTAATTTAATGTATATATTTTCTCCATCCATGATTAGACATCCACCCACCTGAGAGGAGATATTTGAGTGTAAGGATTTAGAAAAATGTGATCAGTTTTTAAAATATATATATAAATAAGCAAGTCATGGTTGCATAGGAGTGTGTCTTCACTAATATTCAAACAGGTTTTTTAATATCCCAGACTCTGATCTGAATTTTGATGACAGGTAGGTAGATGACTCATAAAACCTTGCAGATGACTCATAAAATCTTTGACCATATCAGAAAAGAAGCCTGAAAGAGCCTTAGGATGTTTTGCAGTCCAGAAAGAAAAAATTGGACCCATTCAGTGTTAAGAATGAATTAAGACAATACTTTCAGGTTTATCATTTAAGTTCTAAGGAGCTAGGTGTGTTCATAGGTAATGTAGCTCTAATTTTTAATACTTGGGAGGTATGGACGAGTTATATTCGGTGATTCTTAAAACCACGTGCTTGCTCTGTCTGCTCCTCGCTTTGCAGTACCTCTCTAATAGTGGGCTGTTGGAAAGCTCCAGAATGCATGGATTATAATTGAACATTTTTACTTCTATGTGTCTTCAAATTTCTCTGCTTGCTTGGTTCTTTTCTTCGACTTAAGAATGATGATTTTTCTTGGACTCTCCAACACTTGGCACCAGTGTCTAGCAAATAACTGGATACATACTTAGTAAATTTTGTTAATTAAATAGAGAAGTGAACCTATGCATTCAAAAGTCAACCATTTAAATAGCTCTTAATTTTTATATAATTTCAGTAAGTTATAATTACTTTGAAATGCAGAGGTCTGCATTAAATGGAATCAGAATTAGCATGTAATATTTTCCTCTAAAATAGCAAAGTGCGTTGTAGGCTGGGGAATGAATTATTTGAAAGTGTACTTTTTACTAAGTAGTATTGGTATAATGCAGTCTTATTTAATATAATGATTTAAAAAGACTTTAGACTCTGTAATAGCATGTATCTTTAAAAACTCTATTGTAGAAAGCCATTTATATACACACAAGTACAGAGAGGTGTGGTATTGATCAGAAAGCTGCCAGCTTTCACTACCTAGCAACCTATTAGGTTATTTTAAGGTATTGGTTGAGAAGCAAAACCACTTCCTTCAATAAATACTGAATTGTGTACCTTATGGTCCCAATGATAACATTGTTTATTTTTAGTCCATTGGGTAAAAAAGCCTTTAAAGGCAAGTATATAATATTTAGTGTTTGCGTGTGTGTGTGTGTGTGTGTGTATGTGTGTGTATGTAGAGAAAAGACATATAAAATTGCCATTTTTTAAAAGTTGAAGATTATTAAAAGGAGAGAGGTGATTGTGTCTCTCTGAGGCAAGGTGAACCTGGGGAGGTAATGGCCCTTAAAGATGAAGGAAGGAAAACTGCCACTTTTTTACTACTTTTGAATGAGTAAATCAAACCAGATTTCAAAAAGAGCAGATTCTGCATCAACATTGTTATCCTCCAGACAAATATTCACTCTCAGGCAATTTCTTCACTCTGTTTTCTCAACTAAAGATAAAATTGCCAAAATATGTTATGTTGCTTCATCATGTAGATTCTGTTTTTCCTGAATGTTTATTGAATGCTAGTAATCTAGAACAAAAACTACTCTCTTTAGCTGAAAGACTGTTACATTTTTAATATCATACTATGATAGAATGATTCTATTAACATCCCCTATAAATTCTAGGAAACAATTTTTCCCACCTTCAGTTTCTTCTTATTAAATTTGAGATAAAATTTTGTTTACTGATTAATTCTGGAAAGTGATTTTTATTCCACTCTCAGTTTCTTTTCCAACCAGTTTGAAGTAAAATTAATTATTGTGCATCATCTGTCTTCCCTTCATTACTTTGCCTTGCTCACAGTTCACAGCTTACAAGAGATTTTTTTTTTTTTTTAATATGACTTTATTGATTTTAGAGAGAGGAAAGGAGAGGGAGAGAGAGAAACGTCAATGATGATAGAGTCATTGATTGGCTGCCTCCTGCACGCCCCATACTGGGGATCGAGCCCAGAACCCCAGCATGTGCCCTGACCAGGAATCGAACCATGATCTCCTGAATCCTAGGTTGATGCTCAACCACTGAGCCATACCTGGCTGGGCTACAAGAGCTTTGATAAACCGTGTTACACAGTTGAGTTTAGACTGGATTGTCTAATGTTTTGGTTCATTAGGCATCCTATGATTTATCATGGGTAAGCTACAATTGATAACCTTAGGAAGTAGGGGAGACCAGAGGCAGGAGATGTATGACCGATTTTAAAGCCTGGTTGTCTCCCTTCTACTATGAAAATGTCATTAGCTCTGGTAGGAAATTTTCTCCCTGTGATAGGTGCAGGGTTGGCCAAAAAGGCCTCAGGAAGGTGCTTTCATAATGAACAAACTGCCTTTTGTACCAGCATTGCAATTAAAGAGGGAGTGTAAGCCTCATTAAAAAGGAAGAATGCTAATGATGAAGTTAGGTGTATATTATTGATCTTCTCTAAGTGTGTATTGTTATAAATAACAATATGCTGGGATTAGATTTCTGCTGGTCTTGCAGGCTGGTTTCAGGGGCGTTTTCTTGGCCAACTTATGTGACCAGCTAGAACCCCAATTGCTACGTGGTCTTGTGCTCCGGTATGGAGCAGGGATTTGGAGAACTAGAGCAGTTTTTCATTTCTCTCAGGACAGGATTTCTCTGAAAGGAGATCTACTTGTTACCAGTTGATCCAACAAAACCTACTCTTGTCTTAGGGGATCAAGCTAAATTTGTTTCCCTTTCCAGATGGCAATTTGAGAGAAAAGTCACTGTATCCTTTACTTCTGTAGTCTGGTGAAGGTGATGGTGAGTCCCTAGTCTGTGGCGGTCACATCGTCTCAGGTCGCTATGATTTCACGTAGGTGCACAGAGCTGTTTCAGCTCAAACTTGATAAAGGTTCAAACACACAGCCCATGTCCAATAAACACCTAGGTGATGACCTTTATGATAATTATGACACAAGTACATTTATTAAAGGGCAGAGACCTTTGATCTAATATTTTACATTGTGCCTGAGGACACCTTTGACTTCATTAATTAGCACTTGGTTTGAAGTCAAGGCAGCCTTTCCAATTGCAGGAGGACACTTTGTTCTCTCCTTCATCTTGGATCTCCCTCCAGCAACACTCAGTCATAGGTTTTTCTAGGATTTCTTTGGCTGAGCTGTACAGTTCAACTCCTGAAATAAGTTCCTTCCAATTTTTGTTGATTTGATGTTTCTCCCTCAAGAGAAGTATTCTCAAATTTCCCGTTTAGATCTTTTATAACCCAAAAACCATTTATCTCATTTTTATGGATTGTAATCTTCTAGAAGATTTTTGAAACTTTTAAGTCATTAATTTAAAACCAAAATTAATATTAGTATTTTTCTCAAATCAGTTAATATTAGACCATGGAAAGAGCATACATATTGGGATCAGACAAATCTTAGTTTGAATCGTGGAGCTGCCAAGATCTAATGGGGTCACCTTGGGTGACTTGCTCACTCTCTGAGCCTGTTTCCTCACTTAAAAAAAAAAAAAAAGAGGTGACAATATATATGTCCTATGGGATGCTGTGAGATTTAAAGAAATAATGTATGTTCCATTCCGATCCCTTTAGTTCTTACCATTTCTGTGCTAGCCAGGTAGCCACTGCCAGACCACCATCCTGCCTGCTATGTCCACCTTACCCACACATGGAAAAGTCCCTGGGGACTAGTTATCCTGAGTCATAACAAGTGACATGAGCACTGACTGATGATCCTTAGAGCATAAGTACCCAGCTCCTTACCCCTCCCTGGGATAACTTGGAGGCAAGTTATTTACTTTAATCTCTTCAGGCACCCACTGCAGCAGCTGGCTCAGTAGCACACCCCTTATTGTCTGCCTTCCCTTCCTTAGATCACCTTTCCATCCCCTACTGCCAGTGTCCTTGCACCTTCCGTATGAATTACCTGCACTCCATTCTTCCACCAGGCTCTGTTTCCAGGGAGAACTCAACTAAGATAACATGTGTGGTGCCTTGCATGGTGCCTGCAGCGGTGGAGACTCTCCGTAATTGCCAGTTATTCATAATGTGCATAATAAAAAACCAAGTAATATTTGTTATCTCCGTAAGAGACTCTTCATTGCACATTGTAATATAGTAGTCACCTTCACATCTTGTTCTATAGGTTGGCGCTCCTTTTAGTGTATAAGACTGCCCCCAGGTGCCTTCCCTTTAGGTGGATAGCAGCCACTAACAGTTTACCTTCTAGGACACATGTGGCTATTGATCACTTGAAATGTGGCTGGTCTAAATTGAGATATGCTATAACTTAGTGTGCAAAAAAGAATGTGAAATGTCTTTGTAATTATTTTTATATTTTTTGAAACGATATTATTTTGGATCTGTTGATTTAAATGGAATATATTATTAACATTAGTTTGGTCTGTTTCTTTTACTTTTTAAAGTAACTACTAGAAAATGTTAAATTATATATATTTGATATATATAAGTTTTCTTATATATAATTATGTAACAATTAAACTATATACACTTTAAATTTCTATCAGACGGCGCTGTTGTAGAAAATTATGAAGATATTCAGGAGCGCCTCTCTTTCAGGGGCAGCCTGTGATGTCCTTTTGTGTTCTCTTCTAGGTTATATGTCGCCACACCCATCTCCCTTGGGAGCTGCAGAGCACATCTCCAGCCCCATGTCGTCAGGAGGTGGCCCGACTCCACCCCAGATGCCACCGAACCAGCCAGGGCCCCTCATCCCTGGCGACCCGCAGGCAATGAACCAGCCCAACAGAGGCCCCTCACCTTTTAGTCCTGTCCAGCTGCACCAGCTTCGAGCTCAGATTTTAGCCTACAAAATGCTGGCCCGGGGCCAGCACCTCCCTGAAACACTGCAGCTCGCAGTGCAGGGAAAAAGGACGTTGCCTGGCATGCAGCAGCAGCAGCAGCCACCGCCACAGCAGCCGCCACCCCAGCCGCAGCAGCCGCAGCAGCCAGCCCTTGTTAACTTCAACAGACCATCTGGTAGGTTAACATACAACCAAGTGAATAATGTGATGGTCCGACTTGGATGGGAAAGACTGCTAATGGCGCAGAAGCACTGGGTTGGTGTAAGCCCAGGGCTATCCTAGCCTTTTGCTGTGTGTACCTAAGCCAGCCTGTTTCCTTGTCATGCTTCACTTAGTTGGCCCAGATCCTTGGTCTTATTTTGCTATCAGAGTCCTGGAGCAGTGCTTCTTAGCCTTTGGGGACTCCTGTGCAAGCTGTTGACCTAAGAAAAAAGCATGATCCCCCATGATTTTGCATTCTTTTTCAAGAGGTTCAAGGTTTGCGGGAAGCCCATGCACACCCCCCAGGTGAAGAACCCTGCGCCCAGTGCATTCCATCCCCACAATGTGCTCCTCCAGTCCACTCTCCTCCAGCCATTTTATACCTGTTGATTTATTGATTTCTATCCCTTTTTGTTGTGAAAAGCATTTGGAGAGGATTCCAAGAAACATACCTGCAGTGCAATAATTGTCAAGTAGAAAATCAGAAACAAAGGGAAATAGAAGTCGAGGTCAGGCACGTGGGGGCCACAGGAGTTCTCACAGTTGCCCCCTCTGAGCGTCCACGATGAATGGAGTTTCTTGGCGGTCAGGAAAGGAGACAGGGTCAGGCACCTAATTCTCACCATTCAGAAGGAAGTTGCTTACCAGTTCGAAGAGGACACAGGCCCCTTTCTAGCATGAGAGTATAAAGTAGATTCCCAGGTGGAATTATTATTATTATTTTTATTTATAATCTTCACCCGATGATATATTTTTATTGATTTTAGGGAGAGAAGGAGAGAGAGAGAAACATCTATTGGTTGCCTCCCAGGTGCACCAGACCAAGGATTGAACCCACAACCTAGGTATGTGCCCTGAGCAGGAGTCGAACCAACAACCTTTTGGTGCACAGGGTGATGCTCCAACCAACTGAGCCACCCGGCCAGGGCTGGAATTATCTTTTTAAATTATTGTTATTATTGTAAGTGGCACTGCATGATAGAGGCATCAATGACATTTGTTCATCATAAATGGAGTAACAGAATCCACATGGCCTATTTCTTACATACTTGGCATCAAAGCTGAGGCTCTGAGATTATATCATGGTCGAGACGTGATAGTCCTTGTGTGGCCCTTCTGGCGGTCTGGCTTTATCCGGCTTGTAGAATTCAGAGGTATAGGGACTCTAAGATGACCTTCCATGAATGTTGTTTTTTCTGGGAAGGTTAAAGGATGGCGTTCCAGTTATCTGGATACTCGAACATGGCAAATACTTCACGTCCTAATAAACACAATCCTGTATGTTTTCTGGACCATTTCCAGAAGAGAGGACTTCATTTTTTACCCCAGCTCAATACCTACATCTTCCCTCAACCAAACATCTCGTTTGGGGGAATTCATTTTATTACTCACTGCTCATGTCTTTTGGATTTCCAGGAGTCAGGCTTCACTAGAAATGAAAATATTTGGGCAGATAGTGTTTTATGCCAGAGTGGGCAAGGAGGGCGTGGATGAGGGAGGAAAGAAGATATCTCCTTCAAATAGACCAGACCCATTCCTGCCCCCGGGAAGGACGTTGCATCTGACAGCGTTGCTGAACTTTTCCCCAAATCTCAGGTTTCACAGTGAGATGATAACCTTCCTTGACAAAGACATTTTTTTCTATTGGCATTTAGGACAAGTCAAAATAAGGAGAAAAAAATTTTTTTTAAGTTAATATTACTTATTATTAATTACTATTGTTTATCTTCCTCTCCCCCTTTTTTTAAATAAAAAAGTATAGTTGCTTATAAATACCTCTACTAATATTTCAGAACAAATGAGTTGAAGTATGTCCAGTTATCTGGAGGTAGCTGTGATTTCATTTTTCCTTTGTCCCATTTTCTGGTGCTAGTCATGTGTGAAGAGAATCTTTTTGACCAGGGTGGTCTGCCTCAAACCTACTCCAAAGTTATAAATCACCAAAATTGACATCATCATAGCTACCACCAGAGAATTACTGTTTGACTGGAGGAATTGTTCAGCGAACAAATAACTCTTCAGTCCTGCTATGGGCTCCCCTCAAGTCTAACCCATCATTTTTCTTTTCATTTTGATTCATTTTTCCTTTTAGAGACTAAAGCAAAATTAAAAATGGGAACTGAAAAAGGTTTGGGTTTTTGGGGGAGTGCAGAAAGGACTTGATGGTAGAAAGTAAAAGTTTTATTGCTGAGTTTTTTTCAGTGGTTGTCCCCTCCCACTTCCCTTACTTTTTTTAGTTATCTAAAGTTTCTTGGTATGTCCAGATAAAGTACACTTTATGACATGTCCTTTTTTAACCATTGGAAACCACTTCAATCCTTATTTAATGCACAGAATTGTTATTTGCATCAATGTCTTTGTGAGCCAGATGCAAATTGGGTACTCTGAGTGCACAGAAATTCTGTTCATGTGAGACTCAAGTGTTTGAATGAGTTTGTTTCCCTGTTTCTTAAACTCAGGCATAAGGGTGCATCCAGTAAAGACCCTACTACCACCCCCAGCTGCACTGGGATGCCTCTTAGGAGAGTCAGGGCACACTTCTACCTTGGCTTCTAAGGTGAGGAATGAAGGGAAAGCAGACACATTTTGTACCCCTGACAATTAAACCTAAACTGTTTACATTGGAGAGGGAGTAGGAGATAAGCTAAAGAATGTAATTTGCCTTCCATTTGCAGATACCAGGGAGCAGTCTTATCATTTAGCTGACCACAAGTGTCTGTGTAGAGATGATTTCTGTCAATAGCAGATCCAGCCAGGTAGCTCCATTCTCTAAGCCACCCGAGGGACAGGCAGAAAACCTAATGAATAGGTAGTGACGTTCTCAGTGTGTCTAATTGTGGCAAGCTGCATTCTGTTCCCCGGCCTCTGTAAATAGGAGTTTTTACATAATCTGTTGGAGGGAGTAGAAAATAGACCCATGCAGTAAATGAACTTGCGTGTTTAGGTAGGAAAGGAGTTTGCCTGTAAGTGAGTCTGATAGCAGATTCTCAGGAAGCACATGGCAAGCTGGCTTCTCTGCATATCTGTACTGAGTTATATTAAACTGGAGTCACATTCTGAAGTTTGCTGTAGAAAAGACTACTTCCGAAGTTGCCAGCTAATACAACACCAGATTTCCTAAAAGCCTTTCCTTTGCTATGGAGTCTATGTAAAGTTGAGTAATTAAATCAGACTTCTTTGTCTGCATGTCCTTGGTGACAGCAAAAGTGTCAAGAGCTGAGGGTGGAGCACAGAGCTGCACTGCCTCACGGAATCTCACTGCTGCCCTCTGAGGTGGGCGCTGCTGTTATCTCCATTCTGCAGATGAGGAAGCTGAGGCGCAAGGGATTAAGTCAGTGACTCAGGCTCACACAGCCAGCAGGTGACAGCTGAGGTGAAACTTACTGTTCTTTTGGCACAGGGTGCTTTAAATGTCCCCGTTTAATTCACAAGTTGTAGTACTTTTTAAGTTGGAGATTTGGATATGTAAGTTCATGTTTGGGTCTCTCTGCTTTTCAATTTTAAGGATCAATCAACCAGATAAGAATGTCTTTATATTTATCGGTTAAAGACCAGCTGCAAGTCCTAGGCTTAAAATGACTAGATTTGGAACCAGGGATATCAGTCAGATGTGCTCTGGATGCCTTTTATTTTATTTTATTTTATTTTAAATGTGATTTTTAAAAATAGCTACTTGAATGTGTACGTCAAAGAGTCATCATAGGCTTCTGCATCGGTATTTGCAGGCCATGATGCTAAAGAAAAAAATGCCCAGAATAACTGAAACTTGCAGCACTATTACACTGTTACAGCTTTTGTTGATGAATTATGTAAACTTTGAAAAAAGGAAAAACAACTTGAGAACTGAATTTAAGGTAATTATTATTATATTCTCAGTAAGACCCAAATTTTCTTCTTTATTAAAGGTGGTGGGGTTTTTTCATTATTTAGTATGCTATACAAGGTCTTCAAATATATTTAATTCTGCAAGTTTCTTGAGCATATTAAGTCAATTCATAGAATCACAGAGAATAGAGTAAGTAGAAATCTCTAGCTCCCCTCATTTGGCTGGATCACACCTAAAGCACCACAAACAAAAAATCTGCCTTGTTTTTAAAGACTTTTAGGGAAAAAATATCCTGTAATGTCCCTCCATAACTCATTCCAATGCTTAATAATCCAGAGATTTTACGTTTAGAAATTGGTTCCTTATATATGGGTGAAAGAAACACTTAAGTATAAAGTATTATGAAAAGCTATGCACTATGTAAAAGACCTCTCATTCAGGAAAAAAAAATCAGGAAGTACTTAGCTGAAAAGAATCTCTTTATTATGATAGTACACCTACAATGCCTAAAATAAAAATAAATGTATTTTTCCCTCAAGAATTTTTCATCAACCCCAGAACCAGGGCTGCAGATTACCTCAAGAAATCTTATCTAGCTCTATATCTTTTGGAAAGTTTTACCTAATTTCAGAAGAAGGGGAAAAAAAGAACAACAGTAATACCACACACACACACACACACACACACACACACACTCTGCAGTTTCCTAAGCAATTTGTTCTAATTCTTCACATTCCTCCTGTCAAAATGTTTGCTTATAGCTACCTGTGCATTGTCATCTGAGCCCATTTCTAAACGGTGTGTGCTGGAAATTGAATAAATGTGTTTAATTTTTCACAATGTATGTCTTTGTATGGTTAATTATTAAGTCGTTCTGAAGTAATATAGACTATTATTTTTGTTACCATTTAATAGTTTTAATTTGTCTTGGAAAAGATATAGAAAAGTACTTGAAAGAATGCCTATGCGAGGTTTTAACTTCTGCTTACTGAGATTTTCTTTTTTTTTAAAATTTACTAAGTCATCTGGTGGCATCAACTAATCATATTTATAATCTTGAAGTAAGGAAACATTCACTTAGGGGGTGAGACGGAATACTTCTTATGTTAGGTCCATACTTACCATTCAAACTCCTTAAGTTTAATGTGGACAGTTGCTTTAAATTAACTTATTAAGTGCACTTCAGTAAGCTCGATGATGGCATATCCCTTTATTATGATAACATGAGAAGAACGCTCTCTTTAATCTTAAGATTTGCTAGTTTTTATTAGGTGGAATGAGCAGATTTTTTCCCCCCTACAACTGAATGTTTTCAGAAACATTTCCTAATATGTAGTGAAACACTGAAGTTCTGAGATGTACTGATTTAATCTGAAATACTTTATAGGTCGTGGAGGGAAGGCGCGAGCCCCTCTAGTTCACACCGGCGGCCCGCAGGCTCCCGGCTGCAGCTGGAAGGCATGGCTGTGGCGGCAGGGCTCTCCCCGCTGGGGACCGAGGTCCCCTCAGGGGCTTGCAGCAGTTTGCAGAGTGTGATCTTAGCCCCACTCCAAGATTGCATCTGGCCGTTAGGTTATTCCCTTACTTTCCTGAACTTTGAATGCACCTGTAATTCTTTTTAAAGACCCACCGTAGACCTCCATTAAAATCTGGCAGTCCATTCCTTAGTCACTTTATTACTTAAGAGTCATTTTTGGGCCATTTTCACCAACGTTCATTAGTGAATGCCCTTTTCCTGTGGAGACAGATGCCAGGCCCTTTTTCTTTTCCTTCCTTCGCCGCCTTTCCTCTCCAGCCCTCCCTCCTTCCTTCTTCTTCCCTCCTTTTTTCTTCCCCTAAGACGTTCACTTGTCCCTACCACTGGGCCCCAGGGGGACAGAGGGCAGGCCTGGTGTGGCTGCAGGTCGATGACCCGCCCAAGCTGCTCATGTCGCTCTTGTCCCACAGGCCCCGGGCCGGAGCTGAGCGGCCCGAGCACCCCGCAGAAGCTGCCCGTGCCCGCGCCCAGCGGCAGGCCCTCTCCCGCGCCCCCCGCC